TCTTGGTTTATTACGATAAGTAGAAATCGCAAACTCACTATCTCAGGTAGATTTACTTTTAACCTTGTTTGACTATGAATCCGAAGTCAATTAATAGGTTCCTACTAAGACGGTATATAACTAAGCGCTTATAACCTCAATGTTTTCTTTTACAAGTGGACGCAGTAACTTCATTACGGCACGACATAGTCTTTTTATCAATAAGCCTCTCCAAATATCTAATTTTACCCAGCATTCTTAAGATCACGTCATATACTCCGTAACACACAAATTACGCAAATGCTAGAAATCAGCTTTATCAACCAGAATATACAAACGAATAACGAGGAATACATTTATTAATGAATAAACATGTAATACATAATCAAAAACACGGCAGATATCTTTTTCTTTATCGCCCAAATCCATGAAATTCCCGAAAGTAGATATTATCTGAAAAAGAACAAAACAATTCTAAAGATGTAGACATTGTTACCACTGTAAATGCAATAAATAACTACTTAACATGTTTAAAATGATGAAATAATCAGTTTAATTGTACACAATTACATCAGTCAATATTTTTTAAGAAGAAAAAATGGATATTGCATCTACCTGTAAACATCAAGTATGTGCTATAAAATGAGTAAATACTATGCGTGTATAATTTCTAAGTATTTCTGTAGATTTACTTAAATGAAATACATGTACAGGAGCTTTGACAGCATTAGCAAAAGTAAACAACAAAGTAAATCAAATAATCAACAAAACCAACTATCCCACCTCATCATGTCCATATATAATCCTTTAAACTGCAAAAAAAATTCACTAAAAGTCGTTATAATATGTCTATTCAAGTAATTCGACATTTTCCGAACGGAAAAGTACGTAATTCAACAATTTCTAAATTGGCCGTAAATTACGGCCGGATAAGGACACCATCATTTCCCGTTTATGCTAAAAACGCCTTGTTACATCAACTTTTAGCAGCAATATAGGTGTAAAAGTGTGTAAAACAACGAAAAATCACCTATTTCCGAAGTTTTTTCATTAAATAAAGCCGCTAGACATCAGCTGATCAAATGACCTACGGCCGTCTACAGGCTGCCCATGTACAGTCTGCCATGCTGACGCAAATGGCGCAAATGAATAGTTCTAGAATTGACCCCATTTGATGCAGTAAAACAATCTAACATTACCTTATCTAGTTTTCGTATCAAAGATCAAATTTCTTTCCTATTATAAAACTACCATAAGACTGCTGGCAAAAATGGAATAAATACATTATTGACTCAAAATAATGCATCAATAAACTTTATCTCACGGATGCTGTTCACAACAAAGTTTTATAGGAGAATTGACTTCAAGCTTTATTTTTCCCGGATATTTGTATCACATTCATCTGAAGTCTGGGTTTTTTGTTAATGCGAAGACAATATTTCTATATGTCTTTATGTGTTACACAGACAGACTATTTTGCAGACTGTTCTGACTGACTCTAATGTTAGATTGAACAAATAAACTGTAATTTATATAATAACTTATCCATGCCTGTACAACTGGTATGTTCCTGCATAAACAGGAATAAATATATATATACTAAGTTCCCTACCAGCAGACAGCTTCACGTCAACTACCCCACAACACGCTGAGGTTGTAAGACTCACTGTCAGCTGCCTGTATAGCAATGTGAGGGGGCTGGGAGTAAAAATAGGTGAACTCCGAAATCTCCAAACACAACTACAACTGAAAATAATCATTTTCACCGAAACATGGCTAAGCCCCACTATCGCCGATAATGAAATCAGTATAGGTGATATGGTTTTGGTCAGGAGAGAGAGGGATAATAAGGAAGGAGGGGGAGTTGCCATATACTTTGATAGGCAACTTAAATGTGTTCGCGCAACGGACCCACCACTTATTGAACTCCCAGACTCCATATGGTGTCATTTCACCGTAGGCCACACCAAGCATTTACTTGGTGGCATCTACCGATCTCCCACCTGTGGGGCAGAGCACGATCAGCTACTGCTCAGCACTATCACAGGGATACGAGACTTCGGCTATGACCAAATCACCATTGCTGGAGATTTCAATGCCGCATCACTGAACCTTGGCTCGGGGTATGCTAAGGGAAAATTCGGCCGAAATCTACTGCAAGCTATTCGGGACGCGGGACTGACTGAGAATGTTGGAGACGACACTACGTGGGGCCCTAGTGGAAAGTCATCAAAACTAGACTACATTCTAACTAGTGACCAACTACTCGTCGAAAAGGTCCAGATCATGACTCCTCTAGGAAGTAGTGACCATGCAGTCATAGGTTTCGACCTCGTTCTCCGTGAGCACTTGCAGTGGGACGCTACGCAACCATGTCTATGTTACAGCAAGGCTGACTACGCTGAAATGCGGAGGCTCTTGTCCGATGCAGACTGGCCCTTAGCATGGGATGAGCTGTCTGTGGATGAACACTGGGAAGCGGTGAAAAAGATTATTCATACAGCGATCTCGGATACCGTCCCTTTAGTCACAGCACAGCCCAAAAGAAAATCATCATGGTTAAAGAGAGGCACACAGCGTATTCTGCAAGCAAAGAGGAAGGCTTGGTTTACGTGGCGCGTATCTAAAAGCCAGATCGACCATGATGCATACCTGGAACTCAGGAACCAGTGCAATGCAAGAGTCAGGAGGGACAGAAGGTCATTCCAGGCTCACCTTGCTAAAAACTCCTGGCAAACCCGAAGAATTTGTACCGATTCATGTCGGAAAGGAAACCAAACAACCAAGGGGCTTGCGCCTTAGTAGGCCAAAACGGTCAATATCTCACTAGTATGGAGATGGCTGAAACATTCAGTTTAGCCTTCGCCAAACAGCTAAACAGCAGTGTGGGTATTACCGTTACGAACCAAAATGGTGGCATGACTATTTCACAGGAGGAAGACCAAATAGCCACCCCTCAAATAAACCCTGCAATAGTACTGAGAAAGCTGCAGCGACTCATACCTGGGAAGTCCCCAGGTTGTGATGACATCAGGCCATCTGTTCTGAAACAGTGCGCCGAAGCTCTCTGTAGGCCTTTATGCGACTTGTTCCAACACTCCATGGAATCGGGGAAACTGCCAAAGGAATGGAAAAGAAGCATCCTTTCTCCGATCTTCAAGGGTGGGGATAGGCAAAATCCCACCAGTTATAGACCAGTAGCTCTACTCCCAGTGGTATCGAAAGTACTGGAAAGTATTATTGATGATCACATCAGGGAATATCTGGATAGGTCTAAAATACTCCATGAAGCCCAACACGGTTTCAGGAAAGGAAGATCCTGCGTCACTAATTTATTATCAGCTTGGGACGATTGGACATCATGCTGGGATATGAATGTTCCTGCCCATGTGATCTTTCTAGACTTTGAGAAGGCATTTGACACTGTTCACCATGACCTTCTCCTACACAAAATAAGCCAGGTAGGTCTAGGTAAACCACTTCTGTCATGGTTGAAGGACTACCTAACTGAAAGGCAATTTTGCACCAGGGTCAATCGAGTCCGATCATCTTGGCACAGCTCGTCATCAGGAGTGTCGCAGGGTTCTATCCTGGGACCACTGATGTTCTTGATTTTTATCAATGATTTACATGCAATGATTTACCATGCCGTCTAAACTGCCCGACTCTTCTATACGCTGATGACGTAAAGATATGGAGGGCGATAAAGTGTCCGGAGGACTCAGATAGACTGCAGGCAGATCTAAGGCTTCTGGAAGACTGGGTGGTAACCAGTGGAATGACTTTCAACCTGAAAAAGTGCAAAGTAGTGAAGTTACGCACCTGTAGACTGCAGAATGCAAGTTACACCCTGTGCAATGAAAGCTTGTCCTGCTCAACGTCGGAACGTGACTTAGGTCTAGTTCTAACGGAGAAAATGGACACAAGCGTGAATTACACGGGGGATGTAGCGAGGGCATATGCGGTCATACTTTACACATAGACAATTAGGTGCACTCACTCCTGAGCTCTTTCTAAGGTTGTATAAAACATACGTCAGACCGCATCTTGAACTGCATAATATCATTGCACACCCTCTGCTTAAAAGAGACGCCAACCTCTTGGAAAGAGTCCAACGACGGGCAACAAAAGGAGTGGTTGGTCTCCGAAATAAACCATATGATGAAAGGCTGAAGAAATTAGGCCTATTCACACTCAGTTACCGTCGCCTGAGGGGGGATCTAATTACTGCCTACAAAATAACAAATGATCAGAATCACCCAAACAAAGGTGTTCTGCCATTGAGTAGGTATAGGCTCCCTCGTGGAAATCCTAGAAGGATAGCTCATCAGAGGGCAAGGACCCGGGTGCGCTCCCACTTCTTTTCCCTGCGGGTTTGCCGTCCCTGGAATTCCTTACCGGCAGATGTAGCTATGGCACCATCTGTGGACGCCTTTAAGCGAAGGTTGGACAACCATGCAGCGACACAAGGACTTCATCCAAATGGCCTATCCCCTTAAAATCGCATATACCATTCAAAGGTAGACAATTAAACTGGTCGTTTTACTTCTTCACATTCCCTTCAGTCTTACTCTCCTGACAGCTTTAATTACACTTATTATTATTATTATCATTATCATTATTATTGGTATATATATATATATATATATGTATACCGGTTGACTGACTGTTGTTACGTTTTCTTATTTTTTCTCTGTCTGTTAGTCTGAATACCTTTACTAATTATATCTATTATTATTATTATCTCTTTTCCATTGACGACGATACCGAAAGACTAACTGGTGAAAGGATCAACTCCATTCACAGTAGTAACAGTCTTAACACACTTCATACTACAAACCCCATATAATTAATCCCAGCACTACTCCTGTTGGAGTCAACCAAAGCTACGACAGTCGAGTGGCGGGACGAGCTACACAGACGTTTACCAAAGATCAGGAACCTCTACCTCACAATCAAGAGGCGAGCACAAAGAAATCAAATTGGTTTATACTAGCTCGTAAAAACGATATTGGATATTGGAAATACTTTCGTACTGTTTTACAGCTCTGCGTTACTTTTCGCAGGTGTTGTATTTCTGTAAGTTGTGTAACAATTTCAGTCTGTACCAAGTAATATAAACTTCTGAATATCTAAGAACTTTATACAAATAGTTCTAAATATTTTTAAGTTGCTAGGAAATATCTCATTAGAGTGGCTAAGATACTCCTATGACGTCCAATATATTATTTTAGGGATATTTGGGGCGTAAGCAAAGTATTTAATGTAATCATCCACGTATTCATGTTCAGCCTAATTTTTTTGTATCAATTATGGACAAAATATTTCATCATGTATACAAAAGGATAGAAAATAAGAATATGTTTTTGGGAAGTTAAAATATAGCAGCCGCCTCGATCGACTTAACCACTGATTTTAAGCAATTAATCGGTGCCAAAGAGCATTTAAAGTGTCAGGATTTTGAACAAAATGACTAAATCGTGGTGATCTGAGATCTGTTCTTAATTTTGATTTCGTTCTGTAATGTACCCCCTAAATCCCACTCCGAAACGGTTCATTATCCTTTCAAGCTTCCTGTTTTCTGCTCAAGTTGGCTTACAGCAGTAATAAAATGTAGAAACATATCCTAAGTGGCAATAAGAAATCATTTCGTGACTAGTGCATTTTTTGTAGTCCTCGACATCAGAATCTTTTGACCCTTGCAATGTTGATATGGTGTAGAAGACCCTAAGTCATTCACTTGTTTTGTACTATCGAAAATAAAAATTGGCACATGGGGTTCTACAACAACTTACACATATCTGAAATTCCAGACTGTATAAATACACCGAGAAAAACGATAGAAGTGTAATGTGATTTTAGTTATTACTGAGGTTTCAACCATAAAATGATGAAAATGCTCTCAGTTACACTGTTTTTTGAATTTCGGAAGCTCCTTTGAGAAGTGATATCACAGTTCTCCAGGCATTCTTCTCAAAAGCTTGTTATACTCCTCTAAATTGTTTAGCCCAGCAGTCAATGTATTAATGAAGTCCGTGTATGTTGTCTGACCACTATTGACTCTCCTGAGGAAGTCTTACTCACTGCCTTCACGTGGCGGAGGTGTTTTTCACCAAAGTGAGAGGGCGAAAGCGGATGCCCTGCGCTCTTCACCGGGTTGACTGTCCATTGGATGACAGTCTAGGGGAGATAGCTAAACCCTGATTCCAAACCTCCAACGACTGGCGTATGAAGCTCTCTGGAGCTCACCGGCAGACGTATGGACTAAGGACTTGTTGGATGTCCTGGATATCTGGCCCCATTCAAAAAGGCGTATGAACCGAACTCCGGTCACCGGCTGCCAATGTATAGTGGACTCCTTACTCCACTCCTACTGCCTTGTAGGTCACACGGTTGGGTAAAGGCTAGAGCTGCACTCTCAAACAAAAGGCCGAGCGATTCTGGGGACATCACTCGTACCAAATTCCCATGAAACTTCATGAACTCTCTTACAAACGATTCGAGATGTTCATGAAGCCGGCTCATCCTCCCGTAGGAGATAGCCGAAGTAAAGTAAGTAAGTACTCTTCTCCAACGGAATGCAAATTTAGCAATAAGATTGATGGGTCAGTACCACTTAGATATGTCCCAGTCACATCGGTGATGATGCTTTCTTCACAACCTCATTGATTAGCCTACCCTCTATTTTAGTCTGTGTTATGTCAATATTACATGACATGTTGATCAATATTAGGTGAATTGAGGAAATCAACGATGGCACCGGTGTTCTAGTTCCAGTGCACTCCGTCCTATAACTGTGAGACGACGCAGTGCACTGCTATTTAGTAGCTGGATATCTTGAATGCACTGAAGATGATGTAGGTTTAAGTCTTTCAAGGACACTTTCCATATCTGCGTATCATAATTGCTAGCTGGGATTTAATTTTACGAACCATCGGATCATTTCCAACTTAGTTGGTTGTTTTCTGTATTCGTTTGTATCTTCCTATGTGCAGGTAATTCGACCGTGACATAAATTTATGCGGTGCACCTTGAATCTGCTGGCATTTTTCAAAGCGAAACACTTAATTCGCCCAGTTAAGCCGAATATAAATGTACATAAGCGCCTCGTTATTTTGCAAATCTGTCTTGTTTATATCATTAATGAGGAGTTTGACTGATTCTGATTCCGTTAACTGGCAAAATGTTTCGATTATTTGTTTAAGGACAAGTGGATACTAACAGAGTATTCAAATTATATATAGTGAGTCTGACGTGTGAACTACGCTGCTGACCATAAGAGGCTGCGTTCTATCTCTTGTTAGGTCAATAATGATGTAAGATGTGCAGTTTTAAGTAAGGATACAAATTTAGTCAATCAGGTTTTGAAGCTACTGTGTCGATAGCTAAGGTGTGGCAGACATACTGAGCTGTCACCTTCGTCAGCGAGCAGTTATAGGTGATATTTGATTAGTTTGTAAATTGTTAGGGTAGTCAAACCAAAAAAATAACCTTAATCCACTAAGCCTCTGACTGTTTGCTGGAGTTACGTTAGGTGTAACCTGCCAGACAGATTTCGCAGACTTGGTAATGTAGCTTAAAATTGTTCTTAGTGGCTTAGATACATTCTGTCTCTCCTAAACTCATTCAGTTCTCATTATTGTTCACGTAATTACTGTCTCTTCCATACATATTTTTGTCTGTTGCAATCTCATTGCGTTCAGTATCTCCACCTTTATGTGTGCTTTTGTAAAATGTTGTAACTTAAGCTGCTACACTTTTGTGGGAAGTTCGTTGGAAATTCAGTTAGTCCTTCGGGTGAACTGCTTCTCATGTGTTCTAGGCCCGTTTAAGACTACTTTATTTCGGACTTAAGTGCTTGACTTTTGACTTCATCCCATTTTGAGTCGTTTGGAGTTAGATACACTGTAAGCAATTTTTGAGTGTTTCATCTTCCTCTTGGTGTGTGGAATAGGTAGTTGCGTATTGCTGTCCCATTTCTGTGCAGATGACGTCATAATAAGCCCACAAGTTGTTTAGTAATGTATACTCTAGTTGTCGAAATAATTACAAAGTGGTAGTTCATTGATGTTTCAATTTATAGTCTTATTGGCAATACTGACGATACACCTCGAAGGACATGTACTTGCGTACTGTTGTTTATATAATCATTACATGTGTCAAATTACATACTTCGTTAATTTAAGTTACATTTGAAAGGCTTTTTTAAAAATTGAAACATAAAGGGAAACAGGGGTTTAATAAAAGGTAAATGTGAATGATTATGTAGGGTGTCAAAATAAAAAAAATTGCAGGAGGATAGGGCGAGTGATGAAACTTTCTGTCCTTATTTAATTATAGACTAAGTTAAAGTGCTTCTTTTATAATTAACATTCTGCTTGTCTACTTTTTATGTTTTCATCTTTTATGACACTGAAACCAGGCAATACTACGGCTGATTAATTGCGGTTTACTATTTCGACGGGAAACTAGAGATCATCGTTTTTCTGTAGTGTGACTAGGATGAAGGTATGTCGCTTGTTACTTTAATCATTCGCACATTCTAGGAGGAAAAATCGGATAAAATAAAGAGCATCATAGACTTTTTTAGCACTCCACTAAATGAAGCTGAACTACTAGAAGGAGAGAGTAAACCTGATGCACTCTATACACTTTGCGATGATCCCATGGAAGCACCCATCAAGCTTATCGATGAACAGCTGAAATTTGCTGATCTTAAAACACTTCAGAATCTTTTCGTTGATAATTCTGGGTTTCTTGTTGTTGGCGCTATTGGTTTGCAGGTAATTAACTACATCCTAATCTTCTATTATAGATTTAGGGGTCAGGAAAATCATCTATTTTAAATATTTTGGCAAATCATATTTCTGATGACTGTTCCATTTTTGATGGTCCTTTTGATGTCCAAAGTGTTGACAACATAATAAATAACAGTCCATGTACTGGTGGTGTCAACCTATATATTACTCAGGACCGCGTAATACTTTTGGATGTTCAGGTGAGTATTTTTGTTACTACCTGAAGTAGTAATATAGAGTGATCTATGCAGATCAAGGTAAAGAATTTTACGAAAGTGTATCACTCCCGTTGAATACAATAAAACAAGTAGAGAGATACTGTCATAAACATATAAGATTGAGGGTTTATAATGAAATAGAGACTGGTAGAAATCCTTGAACCGATAGCTGCTATCTAGACAAGGTGGTTGGGTTTGCATATCGTAATACTGGCTGGGGCAAATATTGCTGCAGTTCAAACCATGCTAAAAAAGTTTGTTGAATATTGGATAGCTTAAATCATATTGTAAGTTGATTACACTATGTTGCAAGCAAGTTCTGAGGGCAAAGTAATGAAATTTATCTTGAGGATTCAGTCGAGCAGTAATATTGCAACTCCAGTATCTAATGGTATTCATTCACTAGCAGTCCACAAAAACTATCCCCAGAATTCTTCGACATCTGCAAAGGGAATATACTACAATAGCGAGGTAGGGTTAAATGAACAATCACAGGGGTCGTGTCTCAGAAATAGAACGTATATGCTCATCACTAAATAACAGAATCTTAGTGAGGCTTGTAATCCACTTTGGCTTGGATGTGGCAAGTTCCAGTATGAAGCTGACAGGGTGGTTTTGTCCAGTTAGGAATAATTTGGAAAAAAATGCATCTGCTGCATAAGTATTAACTGTGGAGAGAAGTATAAGAGACACTGCCCCACATAATTCAACCTAGACAGCTGGGTAATATCGTCTGCCTCCGCACAATAAGTGTGGCTCGTAGCCTGGTGCATGATTATTTTGTTCTGGATAACTGAGTTCTAACATAACATTAGAGGCCGAAGAAAAGTGATAAACATACGAGCTTCGCGCACTTGAATGTGTAAGTGCTGTTTGCTTCTCACCCGCCCACTTCGTTGTTTCCCAGCAACTACTTGTTTTTCATGCAGTTGACAATAAACCACATCTATTGTATGCAGAGTAACGGCGCTACATGGCTACCCAAACCTCATAAGCAGAACGGGGTTCTAAACAGTAACCCAGTGGCTGGAAGTCGAGCGCCTAAATCAGTAAGCCACAGTTCCACTCGTTGGAGTCAAAATATCTCAGATATTGTGTAGATTTCTGCGTTACAGACTACCATAGAGTAGGTAAGGATGTGTAGTTTGTCAAGTTGATATTTTGTTGCACTTTCTAAGAGTGGAAAGGGAGCATAGCTGCCCTTGTAGCTGTGCGATGGAAACATTCTATCAAACTTACATCTACTTTTGTCTAGAAAACAGTTTTGCTTTCAGACCGCTACCACTGCATCAGCTACTTATATGGTGACAGTTACTGCTCCTAGTCTTTTCTCTATCCTTACGGTGTTTCTAGTATCTTAGGAACTCCAAACAGCCGTTACAGCCTCTGCAGCCTTTGGGTTGTATGAACATAAACATAGTCACCAATTGAAGCCAGCGTTTACCTATCGGTGGGTGTGTGAAAGCACGGGTTCTGAAGGATGATGTATAATTCATTCGCACTTTGGTAGGAAAAAGCGTACTTGATGACACTAATCGCCAACTGATTTGGTGCGATTTGGGTTATCTGAATGTTATAGCACAGTAAAGTGATACCGGTTGCGTATTCATTAATCACTACCAGTAGTGAAATCTAAAAACAGCGTAGCATAAGGTGCATGGTGAAGGTGAACAACCCTGTGTAATTTTTCTACTGATCTGACTTACGGTGAATAACCTTTTTCATGCTCTAATTCCGTCTGAGATATATTTGTACGGAGTTTGTAAGATATTGGTAAAATTCTCACGAATGCACCTTTCTAAAACAAGGTCAATAAGCCATTCTCTCTTACGATTTAAGGTGGTAGTCTTAATACCTAGCAGTATGATGGCCAATATTTTTTCACACAACCAATAACAAAGTAACATCACAATGGGCATCACACTATGTAGGCCTCGCGTAGAGGTTGAATCACTGGTCTCATTAAGCTGTGTTAGTAAGGTTTTGTCTCCATGTTTAAAATGAACCAAGGTTAAATTGTATGGACCAGCCTGGGGACAATTTCCTACTTGGATTTCCCTTTAAACCTCTGCTTCTATATGTAGCGAAGAATGGGATTAATGATTACTTCATAGTCGCCCAACTTGTCATATCTCGTACCTATACACTACCAACAAAGGGATAAAAATAAAAATGATACCATCTAAAGTTGCACGACTATAAAACACAAAGAGCTAAAAGTTTAACACCAGTGAAGAAATATGATTTTACGATTAAGATGAGGCCAGAGTATGCATTCATTTGCACAACTTTTGTACCAGGGCATATTCTCGACTGTTATACGTTATACTGTGCTTAACGGAATTCCTTTGGTCGCAAATGTTATAGTCCATAAAAAACTATTGTAATGCTAGACTTTAAGCTTTGATATGTTTATATATGTGTTGCTGATGATAATTATACTTTTCTAGGGATAGATAAGTCGATAAATTCCACAAAAACAACAAGACTGAGAGTGTTAGTATTGATAACAGTAATTTTACAAGATACAAAGGAAAACTGCACCGTTCCTTTCAAATCCCACCATATTGCACAGAAAGAAGTCATGTTATATTTCTACGTTAATTAATTGTCTCTTAAGTTTTATTTGTTTCTATTGAAAAGCCTTGTCAGCTCACAGAATAGATTGTTTGTAACGTGACTTTTATTAACCGACTATAGATGGGAATTCATTTATTTCAGTAAATGAAATATCCCCATATTGAAATCAAAACAAGATTTTGAGCGAACAATTGTTTTCGATAACTTCTTCTTCAGGCTCTACAGTTATAAATCCATGAATAATAGAGTACATATAGCCAATAAAGGCAAATGAAAATAATATCAGAAACTGTATTGGGGTGCATGTGTAAGTTGGGGTGATAGTCCATTAGTTAACATAATCAATCAAATGTGTATAGTCAGAAAAATGTGATGAAGTGTGAATGAACAATTGGGTGATAAAGTGCTGTTTTATAGTCAACAGAATACAAGTGTCATTGGGGTGAGAGAAATGCGATAGCCACAAAATACATACAGACACACATTAACAAAGGGGACACTGAATGTGAGGGCTGACCGATAATGTCTAATGATAAAATAAAGAGGCTAAATTGTAATAAGATGTTACAGAGTTGGTAGGCTTAGTGTAAAATCACAAAGGTTGACAAAATTAAGGGTAACAATGAGGTGAAATAAACTGGGTGGAGAAATGGATAATAAAGACATGATATCACAGAATGATAATAATGGTAATAATAATACGGAAAATTATGATCCTGGTGACCTTATAGTGGGCCAGGGTAGACAGAGAGAGTGAATAAGTTTTTTCTGTACCCATAAGTCTGGTCTTTTTCTATTAATCTCTAAAGCCTCAGCTATGGCTAGGAGGCGTAATCGTGTGCCTTTGGGGAGATTGTTTGGTACTCGATACGCAACTGTAAATGACTCTTCTACTTTGATGCTGTGTTCGCTATCCACTAGATGAGCCAGAATTGCACTATTTAATGATTTGGTCGCTCTTTTCCCAAGCCAGACTGGAATATGTTCACGAGTGCGTAAAGATAAATTCCTTTGGGTACGACCTATATAACTAGCTCCACAGGAGCAGTTGAATTTATATACACACATTGATGTTGTCATTTTGGGTAATCTATCTTTAATGCACAGTGTCAATATCGGTTTGGTTGAGAAAGTGACATGCAGTTTTGCGGCACTGAAAGTTCTTTCAACTGCTCTCGTTAATCTACGGTTTAATATATCGCTGGATATATCGCCTTTGAATTGTAAATTTAAGTAAAGCTTTTTCTTACTTACTGTGTCTCGCTTAGTTTTGTGTGTAGTTTCATAGATATACTTCTTTACAAAGTTGGTAGGATAGTCGTTCTGTAGCAAGGCGTTTGTGAGATTTTTTATTTCATCTTCAATGCAGTCGTCGGTACATATGCGCCTAATTCTATGACTAAGACAACGAATTAGGTTGCGCTTATATTGTATAGGTATGAAGCTATGGAAGTGGGTGTATTGTCCATTCCACGTCGCTTTCCTATAGATGTTACGCTTTAAGGTACCGTCTGTTCTCTTTGTAAGAAGAACATCCAGAAATGGAATACTACCTTGGAGTTCCTCTTCACAAGTGAATTTAATAGCTGGGTGTACCTTATTGAAGACTTGGAGCAGGTGTTGTCTATCTTGATTATTGTTACAAATGATAAAGATATCGTCAACATATCGACAATAATAATCGAGTTTGTTTAGTATCTCTTTTAAAGGACCATTTTCCAATTTAGATAGAAATATGTCAGCTAATAAGGAATCAAGGGGAGAAACCATAGCAACCCTATCTATTTGGCGGTAATACTCCTTATTAAATACAAATTGAACGTTCATAGTGCATTTTAGTAGTAATTCTTTCAATTTTCTTGGTGTGATTCCGACTTCTATTTTCTTTTCTACGAGTTGCTCGCATATGTAGTCGACAGTTTCTACAAGGGGGACGATGGTAAATAGTGATGTTACGTCCAGCGATAACATAGTTTTGTCTGCTAAGTTCATATCTTTAATGTTTTCAACAAAGTCAAAGACATCTTTTACACTATATTTAACCAATTGGCGATGTAGCGGTTCTAACAGATGAACTAACCATTTGGCAGTTAAGTGGAAGGGCGAGTTCGACATGTCCAGGATTGGTCGTAGGGGAATTCCCTGCTTATGTATCTTAGGTAAGCCATAAAGTCTGGGTGTATGAGTTCCGGTGGGCTTAATAGCGTCGAATATGGAACTATCACTTAGATTTTCATTTTTTAAGGACTTCAAAGTTTTGACGAACTGGCGTTCTGTTGCTTCATTCGAATCTTTGCTGTTACCTAGTTTTTGAAACTTGGAACGATCATTCAGTAGGGGATGTTCATCTTATCAATGTAGTCGCATTTGTTTAAAATTACCATACCTGATTCCTTGTCCGGTTTCGTGATAATAATGCTGTCATCAGACCTTAGTTTTTTGAGGCATTCTCTATGCTTTTTGGTTAATATACTTTTCTTGTCGATCTTGGCATTATTGTATTGGTAACAACAGTCAACCAAGGTACTCTTAAATCTGTCTAACTCGTATTCGGAGGACGGTGTTAGGTCTAGTGTCTGCATGAAGAGGTTTTCAAACTGTACTTCTGTCTGTAATTGGTCAATATTAACTCTTTTATCGCAAAATTTAGGGCCCAACGACAACACTTCCATAGCAGTCTTATCTAAAGTAACACTGGAAAAGTTGAAGACGTACCTTTCAGGGTCCTTGGGAAAATGGGATTCTGATATTTCCGTGTCTAATCCTTTTGTAAGCTGGATTCTTTTTTTAGTTTCTCTAGTTTTAGAAACATCATGGACGTATTTTAAGAATAATTCCTTTAAATGTGTGGGAAGTTCATCAACAGCATATTGTCTCTGTGGAATATTTCTTTCTAATGTGCTAATATATCCTTGAAGAGATTCAATCTGATTAAGAGCGAATCGCTTGAGAGATTTAATAATAATAATAATAATAATTTACTTTATTCCAATCAATCCAGTTTCGGATAAACACATTAGTTTTCGCTTCAGCGAGCTTTGCACTATACTTCAGATACTCGTTGAGTGCCTTCAGTGCAACGGGATGCTCACAAGATTTCAGTAAATGAAATATCCCCATATTGAAATCAAAACAAGATTTTGAGCGAACAACTGTTTTCGATAACTTCTTCTTCAGGCTCTACAGTTATAAATCCATGAATAATAGAGTACATATAGCCAATAAAGGCAAATGAAAATAATATCAGAAACTGTATTGGGGTGCATGTGTAAGTTGGGGTGATAGTCCATTAGTTAACATAATCAATCAAATGTGTATAGGGTGTATAGTCAGAAAAATATGGTGACTATACACCCTATACACATTTGATTGATTATGTTAACTAATGGACTATCACCCCAACTTACACATCCACCCCAATACAGTTTCTGATATTATTTTCATTTGCCTTTATTGGCTATATGTACTCTATTATTCATGGATTTATAACTGTAGAGCCTGAAGAAGAAGTTATCGAAAACAATTGAACGCTCAAGATCTTGTTTGATTCATTTATTTCATAGGTGGTTAGTTATTTTGCTTAGGCTATGGTATTAGAAAGTAGTTGCTTGAAGTTTTGTTTACAAGACATATGCAACTCCCTGCTACCTTATATTTGCTTAAACGCAATTATGTGTATTGAAAGTTTTGTTGTTGTACGTTAAATCCTTTCCTTTAACATTTCATTATAAATTTCTTAATGGTTTTTTTCAGGTTTTTTTAAAAAAACATTTTGCTCTTACCAATGTAAAGAATCTCTGAGTATCTTCGATCTCCTTTTTAGCCTATTCTCTCGTTTGCGCTTACAAATTATCATATTCATATGGCCACTTCTGCGGAAACGCCATCTACATCTGCAAATCAGACAGGAAATTCACCCCTTACGGGTCCTGGCAAATGGAACTTAGAAGTATGGGCTGAAATGGCATCTATGCAGGTTAGTCAAATTTGTGCCAATGTTGTAGGATGAAAAGGTTGAGACTTGGTTCAGTGATACTCTGTTTTGCAAGCTAGATGGATAGGAAAAACAAAATGAAATGTCCTCTAAGGCCCCGGTATCCGGATCAATCAATCGATAGTAGACTCATACCTTGTTTACTATCTAGACAAATGGAAAAAAGAGTTTTGTGTTCACTCATTTCTAACCTGAATACTCTTTTTTTAACCTAAATCAAATGCCATTTTATTGGTAAATGAAAATCGTAAGGGATTAAAATATACCACTGCGAAGAATGTACCTGCAGTGATAACACCAAAATTTAGGTTATTGAAATGTTTACGAAGCTACACGGAGGGGGGATTTTTTCATAAACCACTTCACTTAGACGCATACAGTTACTGATATTGTTTAGTCTGACAAAAGTTTAAAGAATTTAACAGTAAGCGTTTGAGTTTGCTCCGTTTTCATCTGTTTCACGTGTGTCTTTATTTCTTATGAAAATGTTGGCACACTCCATTGGTATACATATCTGAAGATTGATCATCTAAGAAATATGCACGCTAACCGTTCGCCTTTTTGGAAATGTTAAATTTTATATTACCTTACACAAAAAATAAACTGTGTTAGTGAAACAAAAGATATTCAGAAACTGTCTCAAGTTTTTGCTATTCTTTCTCATGTTCAATAAAAATAGTTTTATCTCCGTTAGTCGGTCATTATTATTATATCTGTGAGCACATTTTATGGGATTATAGTCACTTTTTTGTGTACTCCTGCATACTTTCTACTTCAGCCGTTTAACTGAAACACTACATAATTATGTAAGATACATCATTTTAACCCACATAATTCAAAATAAGCAAAGTGGGCTTACGTATAAAAAATTTGACGCTATTTCATCAACCACCACAGTAACAGAATGCCGTATTGTTGAGTTAGACTGCTGTTTGTCTAAAATTTCTCTACTGTCCCTGTCGACTTGTGTTATACTTGGCATTCCAGAAATATATTGGCTTGATACGCAAGAAGACTGATTCTTGCGGACGGAAAAGCAGGCAAAATACTGACTCTTCTGAACACCTTAAGCAGAAATCTTCAAACGTTCGGTATGCCTTTCTCTCCTGTCAAATGTGAGTTGATGCTGCAGGATTGGTCTTCACCAACACCCAGTTTAATGACAGGTAATGAAGTGGTTGAGTGTGTTGACCACTTCACTTGTTCGGAAAGTTGTATCAGCTCTAAAGGAATGATTTCTGACGAAATCTAAGCACAGATACAAAATGCACGTGTGGCATTAGCCAACTTACGTCATCTCTGGCGTAGAAGCGATATCCTCAATATCGATCAAAGGACACGTATATTGCGCATCAGTTCGCTCTGACTTCCTTTATGACTATGAAACGTGACCATTAGAAGTGGAAGATATGGAGGGACTAGCTGTCTTTTCACTACAAATGTTTGCATTCCATCTCCCATGTTGTGTGGTATATTAGAGTGGTTGTAGTTGAGCGAAGTGTTAATTTATGAGTCTATGAGGTTGTAAAGGCGAATTGATTGAGATAGCTAAGATATGTGCTACGCATGCCTAACCATTGCCTTCCTCGATGGTGTACTTTAGTTAACAAAGGGTTGGGTTAAAAAAGAGTTAGGGTTGGTGAAACCAAAGCGTAGTATAGGTTCATGAAGTCTTTGAAACCTGGTTTTAGCCACATAGGGATGTGTAGGCTATTTGGTTGGGGTCGTCAAGATGCTAAGAATTGATGGCGGGAAACAAATGGTGATATGGCTTAGAATCGTTCACAACGGTGCAGACGTATTCAGTCTTTGTGATCTGCGATATTCATTAAACCCTTATGTTTTTGCACGTTATTATTATTATTTCTCTCTCACATTTCTGCACACTAGTTGTTTTGAGTCTCCTCTTTCTTTTCTCTACCTTTCTGTGATGTTTGATATGTGGAAAATTGAACTGTTGCACTTCTACACTAAGTTTTATGTTGAAACATAGTCAGTCCAGACTAGGATGTAAAATTCGTCCAACGTCTCTTAATTTTTATTCGTTATTCAGTGGACATATTACCTTTTCAAACCAACTACGTAATTTCGAGAGTAAATCCCTTCTTAAGTTAGTATTAGCCAGGAAACTAATAAAAGGCAACGAGAACTGGATAGATGGCTAAGTACGACTCTGTCTGCGACTGCGTGAAAACATGACGTTTCATACCCTCATTGGTCCACGTTTCCGAACTCTTACCAATTGAAGATATAACTTAACAACAGTATTAAATGATCTTGATCTCAGATGAAAAACATTTACAGATCAGTTGATTTGCTAAACAATTCTAAATTAAACCAATAACAGAAAAAACCATTTACAGTAACTTTGTGACTGGTGGTAAGTTCTTTCCATCTTTTCTGCCACCATATGATGCAACTGTGGGGTTTAGACTTCTAGTGAACATCACCAGATACGCAAACTGTTCAACTGTTCGTTTCTAATACTTTCTTAGACACTCGGTGATTGTCAGTTGTAGTGAAAAGACAGCTAGTCTCTCCATATCTTCCACTTCGAATGGTCACGTTTCATAGTCATAAAGGAAGTCAGAGCGAACTGATGCGCAATATACGTGTCCTTTGATCGATATTGAGGATATCGCTTCTACGCCAGAGATGACGTAAGTTGGCTAATGCCACACGTGCATTTTGTATCTGTGCTTAGATTTCGTCAGAAATCATTCCTTTAGAGCTGATACAACTTTCCGAACAAGTGAAGTGGTCAACACACTCAACCACTTCATTACCTGTCATTAAACTGGGTGTTGGTGAAGACCAATCCTGCAGCATCAACTCACATTTGACAGGAGAGAAAGGCATACCGAACGTTTGAAGATTTCTGCTTAAGGTGTTCAGAAGAGTCAGTATTTTGCCTGCGTTTCCGCCAAGGAGAACAATATCATCCTTACACTTTTTACTGGTAAATTGTTTTTGACTCCGTATAGGACTGTAGTCATTGTTTCACCTTTCACAAGCCCAGTCAACTGATATTTTCGTTCAAAAGTTACTCACTCACTTTTGGTTGGTAGCATTTTCGATCACTGTCAACCTAATTAGTCTCAATTTAGGACATCTCATCAAAGCTGTAGAATGTATGCACAGGAACGAATGAATATCAATCACTGAATTATAGTTCATTTCGTTCATATGTGGCAAGTTAATTGTATTGTCAATGTACGTTTCTGTCTGTCATTGATAAGACTACGGAAATCAATAAAAATTATATCTTCTACTGTTTTGTCCACTTTGTATGATGTATCTTTCATACGTATGTCTTTCATGTTAGTTTACTATTTTTGTAATACTGAGATTAGTATTTAGACATCGAGAGTTGGTAAATTATAAGTGAATTGAGCTTGGTCACATGCATTTACTATGACAACTACGTACATTGTTCGTAGTCAGCTTTCTGTTGAGGTTTATATGAAACCAAGCTGAAATACACTTTTCGTTGTAGGTGATAGGAGTAGTACATACCTTTGCTCAGTTACATGCTTAATATGTAGAAGTTTAACGATTCTGATACTCTCTCTCTCTCTCTCTCTCAGAGATTTATTGATCAAAGCAAGTGATTCTAAATGTGGCTTTAAAGTCTTACAGTCAACGTATTTAATTCATGTTTATCTCTGTAGCCTGGAAATAACGATGTACTTCGTTGTAAATGTAACAATGTATTTTTTTAACGGATTTAAAAAGTTAATTTAAGGTGTGTTTAAAAGAAATTTTTGTCTGTTATCCTACATTCTCATTTTCTCACATATACATTTTTAGTTAGTGGCATTTTTGGTAAACGTATGCCATGTGGTACTCGTTGTCAGTGACAATCTAAACACTGCACCAACTCAATTACATCGATTTATAGACAGAGCAATCAGTTTGAAACCCACTGTTTTTACACCGAATGTGATTCCATCTCATGCAATGAGTGATCGAAAATCGTCTAATATTCGTAAAAAGTCTTCTAACAGTACTGTTAATTGTTCAGAAGTGAAAAATTTAACAACTGCAGTACAACGTTTAGAAATTTCCCATTCTAATGGTGTTACAAACTTACCCGTTGGTAATGAGGGTGATGACGTCAGTGAATTAGAAGACGACGTCGCATCTTTATCCGAACAATATCATCAAGTTTGCAGTAATTTTCCTACATCGAATCACTTTCTTCGACGGTATCTTCAGTCAGCTGAAGCTGAGTCTAAAGATGTTTCAAATGCAATAAATCGTTTGATAAGTATGTTGTTTGTGTTAACCGTCTACTTTGAAATCATCATTAAGACTTTAGTTGCATTTTCACCAAGTTAACTATTATAACTACTATTATATATATATATATATATATATATATATATATATATATATGTCAATCCACACTTATTTTCCTTTTGTGGCAAACTATTCATTTCAATATGAATGTTGAATACAAAAACGATTCAGTTGATGATAATTGTTTAACTATTATAACTACTATTATATATATATATATATATATATATATATATATATGTCAATCCACACTTATTTTCCTTTTGTGGCAAACTATTCATTTCAATATGAATGTTGAATACAAAAACGATTCAGTTGATGATAATTGTTTGCCTTTATGACTTGAATTCATTAGGCTTATATCCCGTCATGATTAAGAAATGCATCGAGATAGTTAAACAGACTCACCATAATGAAGTCAGAGAACTCGTTAACTTCTGAAAACTGAGAAGATACCTGCTTACAGTCTGGTCTCTGGTTTCTTTGTGAATATTGTTATTTAGATGTAGCTTATTACTTACAGATAGTTACTTAGTTTAATGAGTTATTTATCCAGCTTAGTTTTATGGGATTATTTCACGCTTTGCGTCCATTCTGTACGCAGACATTTGAAAATTATGCACAAGCCTCAATGTGTGTCATTCTTTACTGAAACATGCACACATTGTTATCATTTATTATTGCTTCCTTGGGTTCCGAGGGGAACATAAGGCTTAAACAGCACTTCTCCGCTTTGTCTCACAGCCGTAAAGGAGGAGAAGATAGGGGATCGATGCATAGTACACACTTTCTGCAATCGATAGTCGGACATCACCTCTACGCCTGAGATAACTTAAGTCGGCAAATGCTACATGTGCACTTTGTATCTGTGCTTAGATTTCGTCGGCAATCATTTCTTTAGGGCTGTTGCGAATTCCCGAATAACTGAAGCGGTCGTAAGCCCTGGAAAAGAGGAAGGGTTAGACTTAGTGCTAGTGACCCCACCCGAAAAAATCAACCCAGTAGCTACAGAAAGTTCAAAGCGCATGGAAAATTTAGAAAAACAAACATATAATATGGACTAAAAAAGAATTTAGGTATTTAAAAAAAATCATGCTATATTGTAAAGACTTTAAAGAGGGTGTTAAATAGAGTCTCAGTATTGGTTTGTGACCTTTACAGGGTGATGAAACAGAAATTCCGTCAATGTAGAATCTAGCATTCTTGCATACCGGTCCGAAATACCGCACCTAACATCTGCACATCATTGAGAAGGTAATTAAAAAGAAAACAAGTAAGTGAAGGCCACTCAACTAAGATCATATGATGATGAGGCTTACGGAGAGGTAGTGTAACGCAATTAATGTTATATTACGGCTAATATTAAAACAAAAAACGGGCGAATGGTATCACTGCTACCACTACTTAGCATTATCACTTGCAGTCATTCTCCTACGAAGTGTAGAGTAACCTTGTGAAAGATTCCATTGAAAGTGATGTATTTGCCAAATCATTCATTCTACGGTTTCAAAGTGTTTTCAGTGTGAAAACTATTACAGTCTTTCATAGGTTTCTTGTTGGATTATAGTTTATCCACGAATTTTTATCAAATTAATTAATGTTCTAGCTGATTGATTTCTAAATATTTTGTGTACAAACTGTTGTTATGAATAATCACTTTATTTGAATTTTTTCAGATTTAACTGACTATTCGGCCTCACTAATACATGTATATAATCAGGCCCCAGCAGCCGCATTTCTCAGTCCCGATTTTTGCGAGAAACTAGACCGATACAAAAATAAGATACTTCCACTTCTGTATCCGGAGTATAGGAGATTAATGTCACTGGTTACAGCTGGTCCAAGGATATTATCAGCCCATCTACAATCAAAAAGTCGTGACCAATGTACGACTGCGCATCGAAATAACATTTCGAATAATGCTCCAACACTAATTAATTCAGACACTACTGTGATCAAATTACCCACTAACAATAGCCCTGGAAACCGTATAGTTCCTGATAATTCTGTTGCTCAGGGCTTTTCAGGTTCTCCAGATAATTCAAGTGGTTCAAGTGATGATTCCCAGGAAAATTCTGCCGCAGCAACACCACCCGTACATTCTGCATCCAATGAATGCCCTGAACTATCATTAACCCCATCAGACAAAGATCCTTTGTCCTCACAAAAAACTGATGATGTCGAAGACTTCAGTCCTCAAACGTTAGTTTCGTCTGAAGTGGAAGATGAATCAAAAACAGGTGAGTTAACTGAAGTTTTTAAATATCTTCAAGTAGTAAAATGGGAAACAGAAATCAGACAAACTATATATTTGCATCTTAACTGACTCAAGATAAACGCATTCGCTGAAAAAAATAGGTCCTTATGGTTGCATCTTTAATGGGATGAGAAAAGAAGAATTATGGTGCTTACATATAATGGTAGAGTGTGGGTTAGGAAAATTGACAAGTCAGTTCCTGATTTTCCAATTCATAAGTGAATTCAATTGCCTCCACCTTTGAGTTAATGTGTTCGAAAAATCTATCTATATCCTGTGTTCTGAGCACAGTGAATGTGTCACCTACATACCTCCACCATACTTTTGGGGTGGGGGTGAACGTTTAAATCGCTATGTTTTCTCACCTATCCATGAATATATCTGCCACAACCGGGGATATTGGTGTTCCTATGGCAACTCCCTCAGTTTGTTTGTGTATTTTCCCTTGGAATTTAAATACTGTGGAAGTCAGGCATAGCTGTACTCCCAACATTATGTCCTCAAGTGGCACTTTTGTCCTAAGTTCGAGTTCTTGGTCAGAAATAAGTTCGTTTCTGACTGCCTCCATAGCCATATTTATTGGTATGCGTGTATATAAACTGACAATGTCAAAACTAACCATTTTTTCTTCATTATCTAATTTTAAATTATCTAATCTATGTTTTAGTTCATAAGAATTTGTTAGTCTAGATTTTGAGTGGCTTTTAAGGGGATTTAATACCATGGCTAAATATTTAGATAATTCATAAGTAGGTGAATTTCTAAAATCAACTATAGGTCTAATAGGGTATCCTGACTTATGAACTTTAACAACACCATACATCCTACTGGGGTTATTAGTTTTGGGCATTAAATTAAACCATTTAGACTCACAAATTCTTAACGCTTCTCTGCCATATCTTCTCTTTTCTTTTACGATCTGAGAAGCCTTCTCAGCTTAAAAGTATCATGCAGATACTCCATGTGCCTATACTTATTTTTGCTTTCATTTTGAGAAGGCACATCGGCTGATTGGCTTCCTGAAAGTTTTCACCGGCCAGCATCATTTCGTCCCTCCGATTTTGGTGAAGAATAAGTTCGTTTCATATATTTTTACCGTGCTTTGAATTCGTTTGCAGCGATTGGGTTGATTTTTCGTGAGTACGGTTGCTAGCACTACTCCTAAACTTCCTTCTTTTTCTGGGTTTATGATCGGCCAGTAAACTGGAAGAGGTTCAGAAACCGCGTCGATGCGGTTTAGTAACTTTGAGAAATAGTTCTACTCAGTTCTAATCAGATTGTTCCAGTCAAATGTTTTAAAATGTGCCTATGTTTCCAAAGGGCATCAGTTGTCATCCTTCGTTTACCCTGGTAACCCATTCCCCGAACATTTGTATTTATATTTCACAACGTCATTAAAATGTCGTTTTGGTCTTTTAACTTTATTATGCTTTATAACGGTTTGCACCATTTCTTTACTGGAATTTCAATTCTTACAGAACTGTAATCCTAGATCTTCTCAGCTATCATCTCTGTATTTAATTACACTTTACTTTCTGATTATAATATTATTATGAAGTCGGATACTTGATTAGATAACTGTTTCTGTCTTTATGTTATCCACTTTGTTATCCTCAACGAATTCTACCTTCTGAGGAATTTATTTCCAGTAAAGCTTGTGATATCTAATTCACGTTAACTTCTATCAAAAGGCTTTCTGTTTCTCCTTGACATTATTTTGTCACTTTAAACTAATCGGCTTAATTTTACTAAATAAACTGAAGTATAATGAATAATTTTATTATAATTCTATGCAATATTACAGACTGTATAAGCCTGGAGTGAAATGATCAAGTATAATGGATTCCTGCTGCATCGTTCCAGCGTTCCCGACCGAAAGCTGCTACCTTGACGTGGTGGTCGGGCTTGCATATCGCAGTGACCCAACGAGCTACACTGGCTGGAACTTAAGTTCCTGTAGGTCCTGCCATGCCAGAAAGGTTGTTTGGATAGCGGTTAGACAAAAAGCAGCTACCCAACCCAATGCCATGGCTCAAACAAAAACACAAAATATCATGCCGGATCGGTCGGGGCTCGGATTAACAACGACCGCGCTTCCTGCTGCCGTGTCACAGGGCAGAAGTGATAAATACGCCACTGAGACACACCAAATAAAAAAGAACAAACAAAAACAGGCCGTGTGTGACCGGCCTCAAGCAGTTGTCCCTTGGGCTCTGCGGTCACGCAACCAACTCCCACGGTGTGGGCAGCCGGGAAGTAACAATCGCCCTCACACTCCAAAGTGCACGCAAAACCTCTCTAATCCTCACTCATCTTTGTATCCATCTTCATCTCTATTATCTTGCCTTCCTTCTACCAATGCAACTCCTCTACTTGATGGCCCTTCACTTTCTCTTCAATCTGTGTGCACTGATAACGATGGAAGCCAAAAAGCCACCATCGATAGTCTCCTAAAGCCACGCCACCAATTTCATATAGGGGCATTTAACGTTAGGACACTTTGCCAAATAGGACAACAGGCATCACTAGCCAAGACTCTGGCATCCCGAGCCATTGATGTATGTTGTGTTTCAGAAACACGCATACAAGACCCAAGTGTGGTTATTCACCTAACCCCACCTGGCCAACAGGATGAATCTGCAAAATTCACCTTGAGGGTGTCAGGAGATGCGACGGCTAGCTCACGAGGATTAGCTGGTGTTGGGATAGCTTTGAGTACTAGGGCAGAAAAGACATTACTTGACTGGATCCCGGTAGATAGCCGAATGTGTGCTGTCCGTCTGAACGGATCAGTGAAAAGGAGAAAGGACTGCACTAGTCGCCGATGCCTTTTCGTAATCTCCGCCTACTTCCCCACTGACTGCAGTTCGGATGAAACGGATGAATTCTACCAAAAGTTGTCTAGTTTGCTGCGAAAGGCTAAACGCTCAGATATAGTCGTTTTAGCTGGTGACTTTAATGCTCAAGTAGGGAAATTGTGTCAATCTGAGAAGAATGTCGGTGGCACATACGGAATTCCGTGCCTGCGAACCGACAACGGTGACTGTCTCCTACAGTTCTGTTCAGATAATCATTTATTTCTTGTAAGCACTAACTTCAAACACAAGGACAGACACTGTTTGACTTGGCGACCCCCATCATCAAATCAACGCTGGACACAAATAGACCACATAGCAATAAGCTATCGTTGGCGTGGGTCGGTAGGAGATTGCCGCTCCTTCTGGAACACGTGTGTAGATACCGATCACGCACTGGTCCGCGCTCGTGTGTGCTTACGACTGAACGGACGTAGGAAACAGCTGGCGGTAAAACCATCACGTCCCCAGCTCGATCAGAAAACTAAGTCCCTATTTGAGGAAGAACTAGCTAAACACATATCTGAGTTCGACAGCTGCGCTCACCCTGAAGAAGCCTAGAAGAATATTCAATCAGCCATAGATACAGCTGTAAAGGCTGTGAATAAGGTAAATACAAAGGTGAGTAAAAACCACTGGATTTCGACTGCCTCATCCGAACTGATAGATGCTAGAAGACTTATTCCGGCGAGCTCCGAATTCAATGAGGAGCGAAAGCTGCACAAAAGGAAACTTACGAAAAGTCTCCGCAAGGACCGTGAACAGTGGTGGTTGACAAAGGCGAAAGAGATGGAAAAAGCATCGTCGATAGGCAACACCAGACAACTATTCAGGCTTATCAAGGAAACAGGTGGTAAAAGGCAAATGATAAGCGAAACAATCTCTGAAAAAAATGGCACCATAATTAGCTCCCAGGATAGACGTCTGGAGCGCTGGAAAGAACACTACGAGGAGCAGTTTAATTGGCCCACATCCACAATTAGCCTGCCGGACATCCAACACCTCCCTGAATGGGATATATACACAGGTCCTCCGTCCCTAACTGAGGTTACTAGAGCAGCCACTAATCTGAAGCAAGGCAAAGCAGCGGGACCTGATGGATTGACCCCAGAGGTATTTAAGTATGGTGGAGACAGTTTACTGTCTGCGTTAACTGAGGTTCTAGGCAGCGTCTGGGAATCAGAGGAAGTCCCATCGGGTTGGTGTAAGTCACTGATCATCCCGATATACAAGAAGGGAGACAAGTCTTCTTGTGATAATCACAGAGGCATTAGCTTGACTAATATAGTATCCAAAATCCTAGGCTCAATAATACTGCGTAGATTAAGTGGTGCTCGGGAGACACAAACACGAGAAAACCAGGCAGGTTTTAGGCCAGGTAGAGGGTGTATTGATCATATCTTCACCCTTCGACAGATTCTAGAACATAGGCATTCCTACCGGCGTCCAACATTCATTATATTTCTTGACCTAAAGCCGGCATTCGATTCTGTCGACCGGGAGGTTCTCTGGCAATGCTTGGTTGTAAAGGGAATGCCAAGAAAATACATTGCACTGATTAAGGCACTCTACTCGTACTCATCCAGCCAGGTGAGGGCTTATGGCGAGTTGTCATCTGAAGTGGTGACGACTAGTGGCGTCCGTCAAGGATGCCCATTATCCTCATTGCTATTCAACTTCATCATAGATGTACTAATGGACTTAACCCTAACTCACTTCAGCGACTCAGGGATTGACTTGCTACCAGGGAAGAATCTCGTTGACTTAGAATATGCGGACGATATAGTCCTTCTAGGCGAGGACTCTGACAAAATGCAGAGTCTACTGAACACCTTGAGCTGCAATCTAAGAATGTTTGGCATGCGATTCGCCCCTGTAAAATGTAAGATGATGTTGCAGGATTGGACTTCACCGACCCCTAGATTAGAAATAGGAAGTGAAGTGGTAGAGAACGTTGACGTCGGGTTGATCTCCGACGAAATTTCAGCACGAATACAGAGGGCTAGGTTCGCATACGCCAGTTTACGCCGTCTCTGGCGTAGACGCGATATCCGACTATCGACCAAAGGGCGTGTGTACTGCTCAACAGTCCGCTCCGTCCTCCTTTATGGCTAAGAGACCTGGCCATTGAGAGCGGAAGACATGAAAAGATTAGCTGTCTTCGATCATAGGTGTCTGCGTTCCATCTCCTGCGTGAAGTGGTATAATAAGGTGAGCAATATTGAGGTTAGGCGTCGAGTGCTAGGTAAGGCGGGGAAATCAATCGATGAGACTGTGAAATTACATCGACTGAGATGGTTGGGACATGTGTTACGTATGCCTAGTCATCGCCTTCCTCGACGGGCAATGTTAGCTGATATAGGGCCAGGCTGGAAAAGAGCTAGCGGCGGTCAAACCAAAACTTGGCACCAGTCAATGAAATCCACAACAGTTAGTCTAAGTCACGTAGGGAGATGTAGACTTCCTGGTTGGGGTCCTCGAGACGGTAAAAACCAATGGTTGGAAACAATTGGTGACATGGCTCAAAATCGTTCTCAATGGCTGGCGCAGATGCATCCACTCCTTGTGACTTATGATTTCCAATTAAACTGTTTTGTTCTTCGTTATTACTACTCCTTTGTCTCACACCTCTGTTTACTGCCTATATTATGCATTTCTCCTACTTTCTTCTCTTGCTTTGTGTGCTACATGGAGTGTGGCGACTTGAACTGCCGCACATATGTGCTAAGTTCTATGTCGAAAACAGACAGACAGACAGACGTTCCAGCCTTGGATCTCATTCTTTACAAGTTTTGAAAGGCAAATATGTACATGCAAGTCTGATAATATGTATGTTCCATTTGTACTTATAGAAAAAGAAGAATATAAAAACTCAATAGTCTCATGTATATTTGCCTAATATTCATTTTGATTAGTTGAAATTAGACGAATCAGACTCCAGCTCTGTAATCCAATATTTAAAAGTCGACCACCTACCATTTTACTTTACTAAATAAAAGTTAACAAAAATTTATTATATTTATATTATTATGTCATATTATCAGATGCTGCTCAATGTCTCCCTTCACCAGTCAAAAGTCAGGAGAAATCAGAGATTGTTACAACTGAGAATTTTGATGGGTTAGTAATATAAGTTTATCGTGTATATAGTGTTTTATTCATTTTTGTCTTCGTTTAACGGTAAGCTTATTTTCAAGGGAGAGAAAGACCTGCTGTTTGACGATATGCATTACTTACATATTACTGTATGAATACTATCCGTATTGTGGATTATTGTGCATTCAAAGTCAACTGTAACTTCATACGTTTATTTCCCTTTAGGAATTTAAAGCGAGAAGATTTTGTGCAGACCAAGACGGTATCACCATTTATTTCGCTGACTTCTCACCAACTGCGTACAGCTTCCAAATGTAACATGATGTCAGTTGATAGGAGGCTGCAAACTTAACAAACAGTGCTTAGAAAATTATACCTATATAATTTTTACCGAGAGAGTTCAAGTTTAAACAAGTATTTGTTCCCTTGAGACGTTGATGTTTTGCTACGTGTTCCGAAAATTGGAGGTGTATGCCCCTTCTTTCTCTTCTTCCAATGTAACTGCTCCCATAGATACACGTAAATTTGTATAAACAGTAAGAGTTAACATAATAAGGGTATCTGTAGACTTTTGATTTCACGATAGGTTCTGGCTAGTGCTGTATTCTATCTTTTGGTGACATTATTCCTGCAATATTGTCACCTTTAAAGTCGAGCTGAATGAAGATAGGCTTTTTCCCCACTGTGGTTTGTCTGGCATTTGAGCCTTCATATCTTCCGTACTTGTTAATGCATCTCTGGGTGATAGCGCTGTTTTTCAACATTCTGTCAACTGATATCATATGAAATTTTGAAGCTGTACGCAGCTGATGAGAAGCCAACGGGATAAATGATGGTACTATTTTATCCTGCACAAACTGTTCAACTGTAACTATTTTGATGTTTGTCACTTACAAAGTATTCTTTGATTATTTAATACAGTATTAATTGAAAATAAGATAAAAACGTGGGTGGAAAATGGACCCAAACTGCGTATCACCAATCTCTCAGTTGATTGAATAGCAAGCTAATTTTCAGATATTTCCTTTCTACAGTACTATTAGTATATCGTGAAACTTTTGAAACATTATGAAAGCTTTTGCGTACATAACAGTGACAATCTGTTCTATCAACGTGATCCAGCCAAACTACATACATTTTCCACTAAGCAGTGTATATTTCGCTTTTCTTTATTTGTAGACATATCACATCGAATAATAATAATAATACTAATAATAATGACGCTGATAATAATAATTGTACCAAGAAATTCGATTCAGCCTCGTCAAATATAGTTTCTCAATGTTGCAGTGTCTTGCGAAGTATAGAAGATGAACTGAATTGTACTACTATTGAAGACAACGTATCTCCTGATGATCTTTCCACGAAGGATGCTGATATAAAAGTGTCGGAATTATTGTCATTTGAAGATGACTTAACAAAACATAATCTAGTGCATATTCCTAAGATTAACGGTGAAACATTGAATGTCAGTCGTATGGAAATGCATCGTAATGTACACACTACTAGACGTGACTTCTTTGATGTTCAAAGGAGACTAGATAAACCACGATTATTCTTGATACCAGAAGTAAATAGTAAAGGTTAGTTGTCGGTTTCTTAGTTTAGAAATTAAAGGTGAAGATGTATACCTTACGAATGATGTTTCTCTTTTTCTATTTGTCTGTTTTCGACAAAAAACTTTGCACCGATGTGCAGCAGTTCAAGTCGCCACACTCCATGTAGCACACAAAGCAAGAGAAGATAGTAGAAGAAATGCATAGTAGAGACAGTAGACAAAGATATGAGACATAAGGAGTAGTAATAACGGAGAACAGTATGGTTTCATTGGAAATGATAAGTCACAGGGAGTGGATGCATCTGCACCAACCACTGTGAACGATTTTGAGCTATATCACCGATTTTCTCCAACCATTGGTTTTTACCGTCCCTAGGACCCCAAGCAGGAAGTCTACACCTTCCTAAGTGGCTTAAACTAACTGTTGGGGATTTCATTGACTGATCAGGCCATGTTTTGGTTTGATCACCGCTAGCTCTTTTTCAGCTTGACCCTTTTTCTACTTATTATGTTAAAGGTTTGTTTACTACAAGCATATGGTAATTTAATAAGTGCTATGTCAATCTTTAAGAATTTTAAACAACAGATTTGTTCATTATGCTGTTTACTTGGTATTACCACATTCTAATGCTAAATTACTAGTAGCATATCTTCACCTTAAAATTATTCGATTCTTACTTCTATCCAATGTCTAGCTTACGCTACCTAGAATCATCTGAAGATGCATGAAAGGAAAAGAAAGCTGAATTAATCCCAGGGTAAAGACAGAAAATCAAATAACCTTAGTCTACATGAATCACTTATACATAATCTTACTCCTTCTTTAATCGTTCGACTTAATTACATCCGTAAATCATATTCACTTAAAGAGAACGATATTCCATTATATGATATACTACCAGTTAGGATTATTTGACTTGAGAATTCTGCACAAAGAGTAGAGATTCCTCTGTAATAAGACAGTTGAGATATTCTGAACCTGCATATAAAACACTTTTATCAATTATCGTTATTATTATTATCATCTACTAATAGTGTTTGTGAGTTTTATATCCTGCTACTTACACTTCATTTCTTTCTTAATTGGATTTTACTGTTTAGGCCAAACACCAACAGGATGTCCAACATACATGACTTCTGTACGTATTTTACAGGAAGCTGTTTTCTCTACACCTCGGCAGCATATGATGCCAAATTTTAATGAGAAAAAGTGGTATGTATCAAGCTCCTTTCTTTAAGATAAATAATTTTTTTTTTCATTTTAGGATTACGTATGCTCATAAAATGTGGGATGCGGTTACACATTCTCCATTGTTGATGGATTATCATTCAGTACTATTGGACGAATTATAACTAACTCCCTTCAGTGCCAACACAACTGTGTATATAGTAATAATCATAATGTTTATAATACCTTCATTCTACGAATAAAAATTTGCATTCCTTAATGTCTTTGCCCTGTAAGCAGCTGACGAGAAGGCGACGAAATAAAACATGGTACCATTTTATTCTGCTAAAACTGTAGTTCTTGCTTTGTTCAAAATTCATTAAGGGGAATAAATGTATGAAACTTTTTTTATATATTTTGCAACCATGTGACGAACACCAAAAGTCATTACCTTAAGAGCAAAAATGTAGAATAGATGGCAAAATAAAACCATGAAGAAATTCTTTGGCTAGTTCGCGCAGATTCGCTGATGTACGAGTAGCATTGAGGTATAGAGTAGTGCGGTTCCTTATGGCTTATGGTTGACAAGGATATTTTAAGAGAGTAAGGATGTTAGCGGTTACTCAAGATGTACTGTAACTCCGAAAGTACTTGTTCTATTGAGACTAGCGGCAAATGAAAACACTAAGTTGATCGTCCGAAATACGAGATATATTTTGGGGTCAGAAACGCTGAGTAATGATTGCCTAACTAGGGATCGTTCATGAACGACCGAACGTAACAGGTAATGACACCGTGACAAATGGCGTGGATGCCTGGCTGCGTACACTCAGGTTAGCGAGTTGACTGAAATAGTGAAGGTCAGCATCTAATATTGAGTGAAGAATGCTATAGACTAATTTATGATGCTGGACGCAGTGAAAAAATATTTATATATAAATAAAAAGGTACCCTAAGCCTAGCAGATTACTTTTAAAGAGTGGGCCGGTTCGTCTTATCTTGTAAGTTAATTATGGTGCATTTTCTTTGTCCTATTAAAGGCCTCGGTCGCCTTCGTGGTGCTGCTTACTTCTTTGAGTACTACCGGGTACTCAGTCGGTTGCAAATCATTTGGAACTACTGGCTCAGGGGTCATGGGATAGTCCTCTAAGTAAGCCGGTTTCAGCCGATCGGTGCTAACAGTCTTGGCGGCATTTTTGTTCAGAGCGAGGTTTTTCCGCGCATATTATAGAAAATGTCATAACAGGTATTCCGGCTACATAAAACACCTTTAAAACAGCTATACTTAATATCTGATATCATTACGGCATTCTTGTAGGGCCCGTTATACAAAACCAGCTGTCTGAGAAAATCCAAGTCGTAATTTACTGCCTCTGTTCTATCTATACAATTATGCTGAAATGAAGGCGTGGCAATTTTGATTTGAGATATATTATATCCTCAACCATTTGTTCACGCGTTTAGTGATTTTGTTTGGTCCATCATATGAGTATCGATGAACAAGTAAATGTGAAGACGTGTTTAGATATGGATGAAAAAAATGTCTATGAACTGCGGTCGAAAGGGAGCAGTTTTAACTGGACGCATCATGATTGTGAGCCTGCTAACGTACTAGGCTTCATTTATAGCTGGCGGGTGAAATAAACTCAGGAGAAGTAGTGTTGTAGCATATACCAGCTGAGTAGTAGTACAGCCATCATCACTTTTCCACCTGTTTTGAACTCCGAGGAAGACTAAGGATAGTGACTTAGTCCGATGTGCACTGTTTGAGGCTGATAATGTAGCCTTCGATTGTCAGTGAAAACGTTCACCACGCCATTTACTTCAGGTTGGTAGGCGGTTGTTCTGAAATGCATGCAGCCTAGGAGTCTAGTTAAAGCCGAAAATAGGCCACTTACACATTGGCTCCGGCCATTGGTTGTTATGGAACATTGGCATCCAAAATTTACTGCCCATTTTTGCATAAAATGCGTGCGTGTCATTGAGGGAGTACTGCTTGAGCTCAGCGAGTGTAGCAGTCGATGCAGGTCAACAGGTGCGTACATTCATTAGGTTTTGGAAGGCGTCCAACCAGATGTCTGAACGTAATGGAAACGTGCATCTGGGGTAAAAAAAGTGCCTAGAGGGCTTTTGCTGTGTCTCGTTACTCCTAACTTTTTCATTTATACCTGGCCAGCAAAGCTGACTATTGATGAATGTGAAGGTAACTCGGATTCTTGGGTGAGATAAGCCATGTAACGTATTGAAGACGTTACGTCAATAACTTTTAGGCACGAAAGGGTGTAGAGTACTTGTGTCATTGTGGCATATATAAATTGGTAAAATGGTAAGCAGTACGTGATGAATTATGTAAATTCTGTTTGTGAGAGATACATTTGAACTTGTTGACTATCTTGTATAGGTGAATATAAAAGATATGAAAATGTACTCTTTTGATGTTAATTCCTTGTTCACCAGTGATTGAGACTGTTTATATTCTTCTTGATTACATATCTTCTAGTTTTCTTTCATTCTCCATTCCTTTAATTTATTTGAAAGATTTATTATGATCACGTACTAACTACGTCCATTTCGCATTTGAAGGTGAACACTTTCGACAAATGGATCGCGTTGCTGTAAACAGTTCACTAGGATTAATATCAGTAAAAAGTTTGAGCATTGTGGATTAGATCAAATAAAGTATAATTATATTTCAATAGTTTACACACAATGATAAGTTTTTTTATTGGTAATATTTCGAGCAAAATTACTGCCCGTGTTTACACCACTGTTGGAATTGTTGGAATTCTTTTTGTCTGATGTTTATATTATCTTACATTTAAAATTTGTCCATTGATTTAATTGCTAAAGTACCTTTCTACAGGAGATAAGGTGATGACATTATTTTGATATGTACCATTCATGAAGATACGAACTGTCTACTGGATAGATTCAACTCTGTACAAAATCAAAAAAGTCTTACGTATAAAGAGGGAAGTCGCAATCACCCTGCATGTCTACACATCCTTTTAAGTTGGAGAGATGCCTAAATAAAACAGTTATTTTATAGGAAGCCTAATTTGACGGGGCGATATCTAAATTTTCAGTTTTTGTCCATTACGATATACAAGAGACTTGATAAAATGCATATCAAAGAGGATTCAACGTATTTGTACGGTTGATATTATAGACCATGTAAATAAAATACTGATGGATACTGGTGTCAAAAACAGACAATCTTTAAGCACTCAGTTTTTTTTCCAAAACTTACAGTCCATACTGTCTCTAAGGCAAATGTCTTCATCAAATTACCATACGACGAGGAAATAAATAGCAGGATGCCAAGATAGAGACTAAACTCGGTCATCCGTAGAACCAACTATACAGCCTTGCTTATAATTATTGAAAAAGCTAAAAGCATGCTCCACTACAAGCCTCAAAAGTGCACAGTTGATGACATCACCTCCCGTAGTATATATCAGTTTATATATGCTTGTGGTCGCACATACACAGGGGGGAGTAATCGTGCTTTGCATGTGAGGATGAAAGTATGCATTCCCGAATGGTTAGGAAGACAATGGAACTGTGAAACCTCGATAGACGCAGGTGGTATACAGACGCCAATGTAGCAATACAAATGATATAAATCACAAGATTAATACTGTGATACTGTTTTTACTGACGTTTCGCTATTTAATGTTGATAGCTCTATTAGTTATCAGTAAAATTAACTCCATTATGGATAAGATTTTATTTTGATAAATCACACAGTGTTGTACAGTAATATTAACTGATGACGTTTCGAGCATAAACTATTGCTCATAATCATAACTTGATATGATTATGAGCAATAGTTTGTGCTCGAAACGTCATCAGTTAATATTACTGTACAGCACTGTGTGATTTATCAAAATAAAATCTTATCCATAATGGAGTTATGCTCTACCACAGTGCCCAAGTTTTATACTTATATCAGTAAAATTAGGCTATATCCCTGTGTGTGTAAAAGAATCACTATTACTCTTAACCTACCCGGTTAATCCTTATCTGTTTATATTGTCAAGAGTAGTGTTGATTGTTTTCCGTCCTATTCTTGAGTCCTTGATCACTTTGTTTATTTTAATTGGCTTTTAATTTTTTATATAAATTGATTTGACAAGTAAATTTATGATCAGACTGTTCGAAGTGTATCATACAAATACACCACGTTATGCAGATAAGCTTTGTCTTCTAATTACAATATCCAATTATTCATTTGTAATGTGTGTGAATACAGTGTATATATATATATATATATGTTTTAGAATTGAATTACTACTTTCTTCTTAAATATTAGACAATATTAAACTTTTCACATCCGGTTAGTAAAAAGCTGTGCCATAAACTGGGTATTTCACTTAGGGTCATGTCTGATGAGGTATAATCAGTTGGTAAAATCGATTCGTGTTAAAATTACTTCCAGTTTTAAAGTGGTTTAGTTCTACCCAGAGATATATTTTCAGTGAATTAATATATCATAGTTTCGTAATTTAGATTAGTGTGAAATATTTACTTCTTGTCAAGTAGGAAATGTAATTTCCAACTGCTGGGTTATCGGAATTTAATTGATTGCTAGATAAACCTCATCGAGAATTGATATCAAGCATAGAAACATCAGAAACTGGAAGCATTTGTTTCTCTCTCGTAACCTGAAGGTCGTTTGGTGGTGGTGGTGATGGTGGATAATAAATCGACCTAAACTGGGACAAAAATATGCAGGCGTACAATGTGCTCGCTGATTCACTATGGTTCTTCAATTGATGTCAGATTAGATTTACATTTTATAGTGGACAGATAGTATTATCATTCTGAGGTGGTATCATACAGACAATGTGTTCCAAAGGAGTATTATTCTCACAGTAAGGATCATTATATTTGTTGGTGTTAACGTCTGAATACTATTCCCACAGTTCAATACAACGTTGGCAACAGAACATTATAAATCTATTTGAACATTCTATTTCATGTCTTTTAATAAAAAAGCAAAATCACACCTTCAGTGATTTGTTAAAGAATATAAACTGTATAGATATAAATAGCTGTTTGATCATTGGAAAATACACCTTGGCTTCCGTATCTTGCCTTCTACTGTTACAATTTTACTGCTGCATACTTTAATTAATTAATGTTTTTTTTAAATAATTCTTCATATCAATATCTGGTGAACACATTAGACGTTTCATAAAACATTTTAATAATCACTATTTTATTTACGCAGTAAGGATAAATTCAGATGTTCTATTTCATAATTAATTCTGTTACACTTTAAACGAAAAGAAGAATGATAACGAGATGTTTTATTTGTGCTACTTTAGCATACACATTAAGC